GAATTTGAAGTGTGCTACAGACATCTCCAAGACCATTTATTTGTATTTACTGTAGGGATTAAATAGGCAGAAACACTCAGCGCAGGGAAATTGAATTTACTGGGTGATGGGCTTTCAGGTTGAAAAGGGAGAGAGATAAAAAGGACTTCATATGTTTGGGCACAAGTGTATAGCACTGTTTTGCAAAGAATATAATGAGAATTGGAAAACAAACTAATGAGCTTAGATCTCTCTGCACGCACCTAAACCAGATTGACACCAGAAAAGGATATTGCTGAAAAAGCTCTGGGATGAGCCTGGAATGAGGTACTGCAGAAGTCAATGACATGATTTGTTCTCCCCCAAAGATGGGGAGAGCCTTACTCTCAGCACCTTGGAAGAAGCAGGTGGGATGTGTGGGCAGGAGGGATCCTTTGGCTGGAAGAGAGAGTTAGTGTCACAGGAAAAGCATGAAAGGGTGGAGAGTTTCACTCTGGAACAAGTAATATCCTGGAGAGGTTAGAGAACAGATGGATCAAAACTAAAAAGAAATTAGACCATCTCGGAGAAGGGCTTCACAAAAAAACAGCTAGTCAGAAGCATACAGACACATGTGGGAGCCAAAGCCAAAGACATCCACAGACTCCTGAACTCTGCAATAGGACTGTGATGTTTCTCAAAAAGGACAAAAGGGACCTTCAGGCACCTCAGTCCAAAACTGCCACACAGACTGCTCAGTAACTACTTAACCTTGGAGACAGACTTACTCAGGCCCTTCCTGTTTTTACCTGTAATTTCATGATTCTGCTAATTCTGCTGAGCGTGCCCAGACCTCTCATGGTCTGTGCATCTTGACACCTACCTCTTGGTCAAGCTCCACTCACTCAGAGGGCTGTGGCAGAAAAATCAGAGTAGCTTTCTTCTGGATGTCTTGAGTAACAATAGAGCAAGAGCAGCATGTGCACTTCCATACAGACTGCACAAACCAGAGGGAGTGCCTGTGCACGAACTAGAAGGGTGGACAGCAGGGAATATTAAAAGGTCCTGGGTTTCACTGTGCATGGGAGGGTGGACAAAGAGGTTGTTATAAATGTGGAAGCTAACTTTTGTTGAAATCTGGTCTTGAAAAAATGTCTATCTACTCTGAACAACCCCTTGCCTTCTCAGATCCCTTCATCAACAGGCAAAGGGCCAATGACTTCATACAAGCTGACACGAGACTAGAAGCCATCTCTCGGGAGAGGTATGTCATGGCCTTAGGACACTCAGGATGGGAGTGGGGAGAGGTCTCTTCTTGCCAAGTGTGGTATGGTTCCAGGGTGGCAGCCATGGTGACTTTTGGGAAGCCTTAGCCTCTATGAGGCAGATATGAGGTGCCTGTGAAGTCCCCAACCCTGTGAGAAGATGGAACTCAGATAGAAGAGAGCAAATTCTTGCATTTTAAGACATGTCTTAATTTCTCTGAAGGAAACACCAATAGAAGGAAAAGGAATCAGTGTGGGATGACCAGAAAGGAAGATCAGTTTGAGATCTTGTTCTAGTCCTCAGATCTCATGCAGAAATATGCGTGACCTTTTCTAAATCACAGGGTGACCTGGGGGCCTCCTTGTCTCATCTATAAAATACAGATATAGGCAGTTTCATGACTCATGCTGCGCATGTGAAAATAAAGGCTGAAGCACAGAAAACATCTGTTAGTGAGGTGTGAAGACAAACCTTCTCTGCAGTACCAGGTGGCCCCTTTGCAGTATGTTTAAGGTCTTTGTTCCATGTATGGCTTTGGGGAAGAGAGGAAGAACTGAAGGCAACAGGCTTGGAGGCCTGTGGAGGAAGGACTCTTCCTCAGGTTGAGGCAGAAGTCATCCTCCTCTCCCCACCATCCTACTTAACCCTGAAATAAAAGGTTACCTGAGGAGGAAAAAAATTCCTGCTGTAGTCACATTGCTCCCCTGGGTGCGGTGAACACAGAAGCTGTTGTGCGAAGATCTTATCTTCGTAGCTGGATGATGGAATCTGGTGATGGACCCTTAATCCTGATGGGGTTTGTGGGGCAGAAAAGGCCTGTAGACAGATATATAAGATGACAGTGCTTACCCCTCATGTCTCCTACTTTTGCAGGATCAGGAAACGTATTAAGTCACCCCAGGAACGTCAGAGGGAGATCTGTGAGGACTACTACCCCTGCGAACAGTACGCTTTTCACCATGGCTATGCTGCTGCTTACAGGCACTATTTTGGGAGGAGGAGGACTAAGTAAAGGATGACCTGTCCCCATCCTGGGGTCTGGAGTCCAGGGTATCCTCCCCAAAAATGCAATGGCTCTGAAACATATCTAGGTGCTTGTGTCCCTTTATGTTATACTGCCTGCTGTTTTTCTCCCATGTAGCCATAGATTCCTACACTGTGTTAATTTGCGCTGAGCTGATGTAGCAGAGATCAGAGAGAGTTCAGGATGTGGGTGTTTACTACACAATAAATTGCTGGTTTGAAACTATCTTCTCATGAGTCACAGTATTTTGGGTGGTGGTGTTCAATCTTCCATGAAGAAGCTGAGTTTGTTTATCATAGAATCTGATGTGGATTACAAAAAAAAGTCACTACATTGCAATCACAGAACTTTGAAAGGATCTACAATGTTTTTGTTCCAGGGTCTGTGAGTGACTTCTCTTAGAGGCCACTGGCAAATTTCAGTTCCCCATCTTAAGACATCTTAAAATGGTGTGCTGTTCAGAGGGCAGGGTGAGATGCACGTTTTGAAAGTGAAATCTATATTATCTTTCCTCAGTTGGGGAAACAAAATTGAGAAAGTGCCTGTTTAGTCTTAAAAACAAAGTTAGGGTGAGAGTTAGTGACAGAAAAAGCCTGTAAATTACATCTTGCTTATCCAGCTACCCTCAGGCCCTGATGCAGGGTGCTCCTGTAGAAAGGAGTGTGTGGTCCAGTCTTTACTCATATTTCCTTTTGGAATACCCTTTAATGCCCTTACTTTCCACTTAGAATGATTTTGGTAGTGCTAGAAAGCTGCAGAAACCAAAGGTAAAGAGGGTGTTCAGGTGGTAAACAAATAAATAAAAGAAACCCAGTGTTTCAGATCAGGCCCAACTTTGTTCACCTAAACCAATTTTGTTTTGCTGTTCATAATTCATTTGAAACCAAGATGTGGCCTGACCCTGTGCACAGGTTGCTGAGCACCTCCTGGGCCACGGAGGAGTCAGTGTGTCTGCTGTTGGGTTGTCACCACCACCAGCACCAGAGCACCTCACAGAGCCTGTCCCCAGGCCAAGAGGCACCAGTGCTGACATGCCCAAGAACTCAATGCTGCTCTGGGCTGGTCAGCAGCCACAGCAGCTTGGACACTCCTTGGTGTGCGGTGCTTAGGAGACATAACATCTTCTAGCTCAGCTCAGCTCAGCTCAGTACAGCTGGTTTCAATATTCACATCTCCAGGCTCCCACATAGAAGTGGGAAAGATTCATGGAACACTATCAAAGGCTATGAGGTATAAAATATCAAATTGTTGACTAACCTGTGAAATTAAGTCTAGAGCTAAATCTAGCTGCCACATTAGAAACATACATCTTCTTCCAAAATATGCTTCAAGGCTTTGCCAGCTTTGAAAATGAACTTCTGGAAATAAATGTAATTTGTTTACTGAAAACATGTCTGATGATAGGAAACTCCACCACAAGAGTTGCTAAAGTTTTGTCCAAAGGAAAAGAAAAAAAAGAGCTAAATGAATTTAAGGGAAAAAACCCACATGAATTAGGTATATTTACACCCACACTTGGTCTGCATGTTCCTAAATAGGTGAATCTTATGATGACCAACCAGAGCAAAACTTTCATGCCCTGAAGTCAACAAGTGTGCACTGTCGGGGTTTGACTTGACACCGTGACACAACCAAAACAGAAGGAACAGGGTTAGTGCTATCTGGGTCTGTGTCCGGAAACATCTTGTGATTTGAACTCCAGTTTACCAGTATAAATAATGAATAATACCAGAGATTTCTGTGGGATTTCATTAGTGTAAGCAATCACAAAACATGTTCAAGAGACTACATGCTGGTTAGAAAGCTTGGAAAAAGTTGGGAAGAGAAGTAAAGCTGTTTGGATTATTAGAACTGTATATTTATATTCTTTCAAATATTCATTTGGAAGCATAACTTTCCTAGAAAACCTATTATTTGTAGATATTTTTTATTTTTAAACTGTTGCTCTTCAGGGTACTTTTGCTGGAAGTTGTTAGTGTATATATTCAGTGTTTCCTGGACTGTGGAGAAGTTAACTTTTTTTTTTTTTTTTTTTTTTTTTTTTTTTTTTTTTTTTTTTTTTTTTTTTTTCTTTTTTCAAATCCTGAAATATCTCTAAGATAAAAAGACAGTGTTTCTAAGGACTGGCAAAATCTCTAATGGCTCTGACTGCCCTTGAGAGCCTTTTAGGCTTTAATTCTGTAACCCTTGCATGTGGGGCTGAGAAGGACTGAATATGAGGTGGAGGAAGATGTGATCCATGTGCTGTTTGTGGGACATGTTTTGGGGACTTGAATGGTGGGATGGGGTTATTGGTAGATAGGCTGTAGAAGAGCCCATCCAGGTCTCTTCACATACCAAGTAACCACAGCCACACAAGTCCTCAAGTCCTGAAGAATAAAACACTTTTGTAGTCTAAAGGTTTATTTGATTTTTAGACAAGATAAGCCAAATGAAAGACTCCAAACTAAGAAGACTTCCAGGAAGAAAAAAGAAAGACCCTCCCTCAAACTAACAACCAAAGTTCTCAACAGTACAAAAATCTCAGCTCTCTGAGGTGATTCGGTGAAACAGTCTGAAGTGAAAATCTAGCACGTGTTTGCTCTATGCAAACTGTTTCATGGGTTTCTTTGCTTTCAGGGGAATGGGTCAGTGTGGCATGGGGGGAAAAGGGTCACTATTGGGTTCTGTCTCATTTGATTTTCCACATGAGAGAGCCCCGACACACAAAAAGATCAGCTCTAATTCAGGATGTGCTGGTCTCTCCCCTGGCTTTCTGGCAAGAAGCTGAATGACTTTCATGTTTATAATGAAACTGATTTTTTTATCCAGTTGTTTTTCTTCAATAGCCCCATTCAAAGTCTTGGATTAAAATCTGGAAATGTCACGAGTCCTGAGATGGATGTTAAAGTGGCTGCCAGGACTCAATATCTCCTGGCTCAAAGGATGGGCTTTGTTTTGGAGGTCAGAAATGGGAACATAAGCCAGAGCCCTGAATTATACAGGCGATCACAGGATATAAACTGCTGCCCAAAAGCAAGCTCCGGAGAACTTCAGTAACCTCCAGGAAACCTCTGAGGTTAGGAAGACCAGCACAGCCAAAGAAGACATGAGGAGTCTGCTGGCATTGCTGACCATGACTCTGGCCCTGGCAGCGCTCTACTGTTGTGAGAAAGGTAAGGGCACATCTTCCCAGGAAGGCTTTCAGGAGGACTGCTCAACCTTGAAGCTTGCCACCTACCTCTCTGGTCTGGGAGAGACACACAGCTTTGAGGGGAAGAGATACACTGCTGGTCAGTGCACAACTACAGATCTCTGTCTGAGAGAGGAGTCCTGGATGAGAGAGGGCTTGGGGATAGAAAGTCTCATCTATTGCTGGGCACTTTCTTCCACTGGTCAAACCCTAACCCTGAAATTGCACTATTTTGAACATTTTAATATGTTTAGGTATTAAATCAGTTTGGCATTTAGGTGAACTGGCAAAGGTGTGCTGGATGCTCACTTTTGAGTAAGAGGGTTGAGCTGAAGGAAGATTTATTTCAACCACAGGCAGAGGGATTTTGTGCCTGACAGCCCTGGAGTGCTGTAGGATCACAGAGATAGGCATCAAGTCAAGCATTCACCTGCAGGAAATGTTGGATGTGGAGAAATTCTGGAGGAAAAAAGCGCCTCCTATTGGTGATTAAAAATGACTTGTCCCATTGACATAAGATCACATCACATTTGAAGGTGATTTAGCGATGGTGACTTCATGATGAAGAGATAGTAATGTAGTGGTAGCTATGTAGTTGATGAAGAGAGAGGGAAGGAGGAAAAGATGAGAAAAACAAGTGTTTTCCCTTTACAGCAGGAAAGAGAAGCTGAGCAGGAGGGAGCTGTTTTTTTCTTGTATTATTCAGATTTAAATTTTGTTCAGTCCTTGGCATCAGATATATCATGATTCAATACCGGCAAATATATTTTGTTTGATCAGTGTTTTCCTTCTGTCAGTCTCTTTCTCACTTTTTCACTCTTGAGTATATGTCTGCTTTTATTTAATCATTAAGTTCCTGAATGCTTAATGGCCTTGGAGTAACTTCTAATTTTTTTTTTTTCATCCAAGAAATGTATACATTGCTTAAAAATACAACTACACATAACCCTTTTCACACAAAGTTTTGTTTAAGCAGACTTGTTATTTTTTTGGTCTCTAGAGTCCTCTTTCTGCCCATGAATAAACATGCCAAATACCTGGTGACTTGGGTGGAACTGACACTTGAAAAAAAAAGTATGGTGAAACAGTGAAAGAAAAAAATTGTGAAACAGGGCAGTGTGGGAGATCCGAGATCAGGAGACCTTCCATTTCTCTTAGAGGACGCTTTCCTTGGCAAGTTTCTTAGCAAGGATGGGGAGGGAGAAGGGGGAAGGTCTTCCTCCACATTCCACAGTGGTTATATGTTTATTGTGTCATTTAATCTGGCTGAGAGGAAGTTGAAATTAAACAAATCCAGGCATAATGGATTAATTTTGCTGTGATGATGAAGTCTGTCTCTAAATGGTGGGTGTCAATAAAACCATTTTTGGGAGGAACAGACCTTCTGGGGAAGTGGGGGAAGCTGGACCCAGACAGTAGGCAGAGGGATTCAGTTACAGAGTGGAGCAGAGGAGGACTCACAAGCAAACTCCTTTTTGTCTGTCTGTCTTCCAGATCCCAAAGACCCGTCAGGATCTCGCAACACTGACAGTGAGTACATTGTTGTGACTGATGCTCAGCTCCATTCTCCTGCATCTGCTTCCTTTCTTCCCTTTGAGAGGTTCAAGGGGTGAACAAGAACCATTCTGAGTCCCTCTAGCTGCTCCCCTTTTGCTTCCTCAGTGCTGCAGTCCCTGAGGTGCAGGAGTACCTGCAGCAAACAGAGATGCCTTTCACAGCCATGGGTGCAGGAAACACCAGGGAGATCAGCCTCCCTGCACTGGCAGCGTCGCATCACTCTGGGTATGCTGGTGCCACATCTCCAAAACCCTTGAGCAGCCTCCAGGCAAGACATGAGTTCTGCAGGTTTTTAGCAGATGGATGCATCTGCCCTCTGTGAAACAGGGTAATGTGGGTTGAGCAACACCGCCAGTCTCCATACTTCTCTGAGCTGGCCTTAGAGACCTATCTAAAGTGACTGCTGCATCCCCAGACTCTTAAGAGAGCAAAAACTGCCTCAGGGCCTTCAGGCACTGGTCTTTTGGATCTGCTGAACATTTAGTCTTGTGTGCAGGATCATACAGCAGAAAGATTTGGTGCCACATGCCAACAGGCTATGACATCCCTGCCTAATCCCATAACCTGGAGACCCTGAAAGCAAGCAGCTTTCTTGACTGCTCCTGAAGGCTGCAGTCCCTCCTGTCAGGTCTCCTGGGACATGGGCATTTGCACTCCTTGGCATGTCCACAGCTTTTGCTGGCAGAAATATGTGTAGAAAATCCCTTTCGATCTCCCCCGTCTCTGGTTTCTCACACATTAAAGGATAACATTGCTGCTGAGGAGTGTGAAAGCTGGTATTTCTCCAGTGAGCCAATACAAAAACAAATTGCGAAAGAGAAAAAAAAATTAAAAGAGCATTCAGGGAAAGGTGGTGATTTCTGACAGCTCATTAACTGGCAGTTTCTGTGTAGTTGGTATTTTGATACAGACTAAATCCCAGCTTGCTAGAGAGGGGGTACCTCTCACCCACCAAACAGAAACACAGTCGAATACCCCATGAAGATGAAGGAAGGGTACAAACCCCACTGTCTCCCCAGAGGCAGGGATCTTCTTTCCCCCAGTGTCTGCTACAATTTGCCAGTTTCCCTGCGGAAACATGTATTTGTGTACAGCTACCTGTGTTACTGGTGTGCTGGCATCTGTCCACACTTCTGCTGGTCTGGGTTCATCCCATGGAGTGAGGCTGTGCTGTGCTGAACCCTGGCTGGAGAGTGAAGTGCTCCACAGCATCCACATGTTTGCACAACCACAAATCCAAGGGAGCAAATAAGCAACTGTGCTGATACAGTGTGTTAGTGGAGACCAGGGCCCAGTGCTGTCATGGCAGAAAGACCTCATGTTCTCCAAGTCTTGAACACCAGGATCTTAACACCTCCTGGGTGTATTTCTCCTTGAGTGATGCTTACCATCATTATTTTTTACCCTTCACCTTTTGTGGAACTTTACACACGTGAGCATTGGTATTTCCATGTGCCACCTGTGGCTTAGGGCTCATTAGAGGCATTTTTAACGCCTGGTGGCTGGTATCCCACATCACTCGCAATCTAAGTCAAAATTTAGAAAGGAAGCCAAGACTATGAAGTTAAGTGGTCTAGGGATAGAGGGTGACATTTCCTTCATGTTCTCCTTATTAATATTTTATGCTGCCATGACTTTGCCTTCTGCACATTTGCTGTGGACTCAGACCATGCTGTGTGATGAGTGGAGTTTATGACAGAAAAGGCCTTTGCTTCATGTAGATGTGCCAGGTTGGAGTGAGGAGGGAGCTCAGCTGTTGGGCTCTGAGTGGACAGTGGGGTGGGATGTGCAATTAGGATGGTTCATGGCAGTCATCTGCTTGTGAAGAGAGTAGACCACCCATTTTCAGAGATTAGACTGGTCTCTGTTTTTCATAGACAATGACCCTGCATCTTTAAGCTGCTGTGTCCTCTCTTAGCAGGCATCAAGATTACAAAGGAAGTTGCCAATGCCTTTGTGAAAAGGCAGAAGAGATCCAGCCTGTTTGAATGGTAACAACTCGGGACTCTGGCTGAGTGCTGGACTCTGGACCTGTTCTGAAGAGAGGGTGGGAAGGCAACAGGAGATGAAAAGGCATTAATTTGTTGTGCATATGTGTTATTACCGTCATGTGTTGAAGCAAAAGGGCTCTAGGAGTCACTTACTGATAGATATTTTTTTTTTTTTTTTGTCAATATCCTTTTCAGAGCTCATGGCTGGACTCTGATATTCCTCCCAGGGAGGAAGACAGTACTGTCTGGGTTAGCCATGGAGACACGAGAATACAAGTTAGAAACTATCTTTCAGGGTCATCTGAGCCCGTTTCCAGGATAATGAACATCACAGAGCCCTGGTCATTGTCCCTGGCTCCCTACAAAGGAAGCTCTGTTGCAGGGGTGAGGCTAGATCAGAATGGCTGTTCTTTCTGAAGCTGTAGATCCAACATCAATTTGTGCAAAAATCCTAGGCACAAACATTTGGAGAAATCTGACCTATAAACATTTTGAGAAATTTGAGGTCATCCAAGAATGTTCTTCACAAATTTCTTGGAAGAGATTGTTATGTTACTGTTTGTGTAAAAAGAATTTTTACTCGGTCTGGAAGGACTGGAAGGATAATATTGTTTTTTAGATAATAGAAGGTTGAGAGGCCCCATCTCTGGAAGAGAGGATCTGAGTATTGTAGCAGAGGAACTGGCTGATGTTGAAACCTGCAGTGAGTAAAACCAAGATGAAATTCAGTAGTAGCAACTGTACTGACTACCCTCTTACAGGTGGGGCATCATAAAAATAGCTTCTGCTATAAGCAGTAATCAGGAAGGACTGAGGCATGCAGACAGCTCAGGGTATTATTTGATTAGGTAATGTTAGTCTCGAAATAGGGGTGCAACAAATTGAATTCAAGGGTGCTGCAGGGTACATCCAATACAGAAATAAAGTAACAATTAATGAGATACTGGTGGGACTTCTCCTGTAGCATTGTGTACAGTTGTCAGGAGAGATTAACCAAACCTCAAACAGGAGTTAAGAAGGGCATCCAAAATGTATAGCTGAGACTAAAAGATTCGGGCTTGCTTAGCTGAGTGGGGATAGCATTACTGTCAACAACAGAAGTGAGGATGACTAGAGGAAACTCCTTAAGCTAAAGGAAAATTATGGCTAGTGGGAAAGTGGTCAGGAACTGGAAGCACATAAAGGTAAACAGGTAATAAATAAGCAAACAAATAAAAACAACAAAAAAGATTCCTGTGTATCTGGGAAATTAGGCTGGGGACAAAATTCCCCAACATTAACTGCTTTTGTGGTCTCCTTTGATGATAAAACCTCAGAAGCGATTGTTTTAAGTAGGGTTCAGTTCCAATCTTTCCCAGCATTAATCAAGTAGTCTATCGTCATGTACACAGCTGTTCAACTCAGCATGAGAAGTTCCCTGTTGGGACACCTCGGGTAATTACTCTTTTCATGTTAGCATCATGGGTGTGAAACCTCTTCAGCTGCATCAACTGAATCTGCAGAATGGCATCTCTCTCTTTGTCTACTCCAGGTACTCTGAGTATTACAAAACTTCAACAGAGCATATGCAGGAGCGTTGTGAAAACTACCCACCTTGTGACTACCTCTCTGACCAAATAGGATTTCCCATGGCCTACAACCATTTCTTTGGGAGATACTAATGATAGGATGGTCACATCGTTCACTTTGCTTGGGACTACTCTGAGCGCCCCAGGAGAAAGAAGGAGGGAAGAAATACATCTAGACTGGGGCCGCCTTCTGTTGTCTCCCTAGCCAGCTGGAATGCCAAGGCAATAATTATCCTACTTGCTGAGCTTGCATTAGCTATTTTCCTTTCATCAAAAATGTTTCTCTTCAGTCATCTTTTGTGGTATTTTGAGCTTTATCAGAATTGATTGAGAAGACTGTCTTACTTCTTTCCATTTGAATCCTTGTGAAGCAGTAGGTGAAAAAAATGGGATTCCTCTCAAGAAAATCAATGTATGCCTTAGAAACATAACAAGACCTTTTATCCTCTTCTACAAAATGCAGGAGGATTACAGAAGAACAATGTCACAACGTGCGTAAATGTGATGGATCTGATCCTGGGATGCTCACTGAGAAGAAGGCAAAATGGTTGCCCTCTGGTACAATGACTGGGAAAGTTCAGTATTTTCAGGTAGCATAATCACCTTAAATATATGCAAGTGTAGGATCATTTTGTAAAGATAGAAGTGTAAAAATACTATTACATAGCCAGAAATCAGGTTCTGGTACAATCTTCTGATTCTTCTGTCACAAAATTTGCCTGTATAGCACAACAGATAAATCCCGAAAGGTGTGTATAAGGAGTTCTTTTAGATGAGCCCTTCCATTTGTATGCTGCATTCAGTGACTGTGTAAAAAGTAACTTTGAAATCTCTTGCTGGTTTTGTTACAAATGGTTTCTGGTGAAACTGAATATATCCAAGCAGAACAAATAAATAATCTGTTCTACTCTGATGCTTTAGCATTTATGCTTTAGAGTAAAAATTTCTAAACAGCTAAAAAAAACCACCCGAAAACCCAAAGAAAAAAATAAGCAATAAACCTTATGAAATAAACAAAACCGAAATTGGTTCAAGGATGAAGTTGTGTCAGCATTTGGTTTATTCAAGGAAACTTATATCTCTCCTTACACATATTAAAGCAATTTAGAAAAAGTGTATTTAAATACATACCCTCTTCTTTCTGTACTACTTCATTCTGCTCTCTGGTGTGAACATTATACCTTAGCAACTTTTTACACAGCCTCCCTTGATGTGCTCTGTCAGCTTTCCTTCCCTTAGAGTTAGATGGCAGATCCCATCTCCAAGGACAGGGACTACTCACCCTTAGGAGACTGAGAAAGATCAAATCTCTCTGGTTGCATGTGTACTGGTGGAGCCATCCCCAGCTGCTGACTGCAATAAATACTGCTTATGTAAAGCCGGTTGGTGAGCTGCTTCTCTCTGTTCCTCTGTACAACCTTCATCTGTGGTTAGGGATGCCTAGAAGATAAAGCCTGCTCCTATGAACCCTGAAGAGCAGGATCCAGGTATGTGAGGCCTCATTCTCTCCTCCTGTGCCCCACTGTGAATAAGAAGTGACTACATTGAGATTCAGGTCATGATCCCAGTATGCTGTGACAGTGAGGGAGAGGAGGGCCAGGCTTTTCCTGTTCCACCAATTTCAGCGTTTCTCTGAAAGGCCTTGCCCTGAAGTAAGGACGGGGGATAAGTCCCCAGGGATGGCTGCCAGTGTGAGTATGAGCATCTCTTGTTCAGCAAGCTGCTATGATTTGCACTAACTATGCTGCCTTGGTCAAGGAGAAGACAGTTAGTAAGTACCTCTGCTCACCTTGGTCAAACACCTGGGACTGGTTTCCCTGTTGGCATAAACTGATGGGTTTTCACTGCTCACAGCACAACTCTCTTCTGAACTCCATCTAGCAAAACTGAACAAAGAGCTCATTGCAAACAGCGAAAAATTTGCTGGGAAAAATACTAAAGAGATTAGCGAAATCCTGGTATGTACTGTACGAACAAGTTAGGGGGTTAGTTGTACAGTTTTGTTCACACAAAAAGAAAATGAAACTTCCTGTCTGTATTTGCATCTTTCTGTTAGTTTGTATTTTTCTTTCCCGTTGCATATGAAGATGTCCATCATGTTATCTTCTCTGTCCCCAAAACTCTATATGGACTGAAGTCAGTACGACCTTTGGGGATCAGAGTGCACAAATCACATTACAAATTACTGCTGGAATGGAGGAACTCGATTTTGTACCACTACAAATGCTCTGCTGCCATCTTATGGATTTTGTAGTTATTGTATTTAACAATACACTACGTTGCTTTTGAAGCGTTTGAAAATGCAAATCCAGTGGGCTTTCTACTTCATTCACTTCGTACTACAACATACACTAAGAGACCAGACAGGAAAAATAGGGACATAATCTGCAACTGTATTATATGCATTGGAATTAACATTTTAGTGGGGCTGTTTGTCCTGATTGTCAAGTTCCCAGAGGAAACTGTCACAGTTGAGCTCATTTTTATCTCTAACACCAACAGGAGAGGACATGCCTGAATAAATTCACAAACCCTCCCGTGGACTCACTTTTAGCAGTTGAAGAACCACTGTCTGAAATACAGCCCCAAATGACAGAGCAATTCCAAGAAGGAGAAATAGATAGGCTTCATTTACCACTTTGCATCATCCTTCATGTCATCATTTTGTATCACCAGCCACTGGAGATACCGTCAGCAGCATCAGTTGGTGCAGTGTTATAGATTACTTTGAAAACAACCTAGTATGAGGCCTTTATGTCATCTCTCAACCTATTTCAGCAATATCTGGCAAATGATCTCTGTCCCCAGAACTCAAGCAGCTGCACAGACATCTTTTCTCAGGGAATAACACCATGACTACAAATGTCCTCCTCACACAGCATACCACTAGCAGGCAATGAAAAATGGACTTCACTTCTTTGTAGTCAGAATGAGTCCCTGACACCTCCTCTTGGCTTTTTTTCCATGCAGAGGAGTTGTCAGAGGCCATGGGTCTTTGCAGGTGAGTAACTCACTACCCTTTATTGGGAAGTGTGACTGGAAAGCAGCTACTAGAGGAGGGGTTAGTCGCAGTATAGAATCCGTATTACACACTCATTCTGAGTGTATCCAATGTAAGCAGTTCAACACGATACCACTCTACAGTGCTGTAAGGGTAGGACTGGCAGCACTTATCAGAAACCGGGGGGAGCTGAGGCACACAGGTTATCTCTGCTTCCAGATGGGATCCCAACCTACCCTGCATTTCTATGTTGACTTTATCAGAGCTCTGCACTTCTTTAAAAGGGCTTTTTAAGCTCTTGACCAAGGGGTGCTCTCCACTTCATCCTGAGACATCAGTCCTTGGGAGACAACTGCTTTAGACTTCTCCAAGCCAGAGTTTTCTTCCTTTTGTGCAAGAACAAGCACACCAGATCCCTTGGAATGAAGAGAACTATCAAGGTGAAAAACACCTACACCAGCTGGAGTTGGTGCAACCAGACCCTTCCTTGTGGATTGTGGACACATTTCTATCAGTGAATTGTCTGTTTGGATTGGTTAATGATTTCCGAATGGCTGTAAGAATCTGGTGAATGATCTTTGGTTGAAGAATTGTCAACAAAATCTGAGTAAAAATAACAAACTGCAAAATTTTCCAGATCAAGAAAAAAGGAAAAGAAACAGATGTAATTGACTTCTACTTAAGCAAAACGTTCTTTACAGTGTCTTGGGTGGACTCTAGGATGACAGTCCTGCTGACCAGCCTTCTGTTGCTGATGTCCTTGGAAATGCTGGTAAAAGGGGTAAACAGTATTGTTTATTTGAAATTGTGAAACAAACTCCGCCCCCTTCCCCCCTCACC